TCATTTTTCAAGGAAATAGTAGAGGCAATCTAAAAATTCATCTGGAACAATAAAAGACCCCGAATAACCAAAGCCGTCCTCAACAGAAAGAACACTGCTGGAGGAATATCAATACCAAATTTCAAACTCTACTATAAAGCCATAGTAATCAAAACAGCTTGGTACTGGCACAAGACAGAGCTCAGGACCAATGGAATAGAATTGAAAACCCAGAAATGAACCTACAGACCTCTAGCCATCTAATCTTTGATAAGGGAGCTAAAAAAATAGAATGGAAGAAAGACAGCCTCTTCAGTAAATTGTGCTGGCAAAATTGGTTAACTACTTGAGGAAACTAAAGCTAGATCTTTATATATCACCCTCCACCAGAATCAACTCCAAATGGATCAAAGACCTCGAAGTCAAAGCAGACACTCTGAAAACATTACAGGATTTAATAGGAGAAACCCTAGGTCTCCTTGGCTCAGGTCGAAATTTTCTGAATAGAGACCCGGAAACACAACAAATCAAAGAAAGGTTGGACAAATGGGATTGCATAAAGTTGCAGAGCTTCTTCATAGCAAAGGACATAACTAGCAAGATCAATAGAAAGCCCACGGAATGGGAGAAGATCTTCACTAGCCATACAACAGACAAGCATCTCATATCTAAAATATACCTGGAACTCAAAAAATTAAATCCCCCAACAACAAATCTTCAAAGAAACAACTTCCCAACAAAAAATGGGCTAAAGACTTAATGAGAAACTTCTCTGAAGAGGAAAGGATGGCCAATAGACACATGAAGAAATGCTCAACCTCCCTAGCCATAAAAAAAATGCAAATCAAAACGACATTGAGATATCACCTCACTCCAGTTAGAATGGCTAAAATCAAGAACTCTACAAACAAAAGACGCTGGAGGGGATGTGGACAGAAGGGAACCTTACTGCATTGTTGGTGGGAGTGTAAACTTGTTCAACCACTTTGGAAATTAGTATGGAGGTTTCTCAAAAGACTCCACATAGAGCTCCTCTATGACCCAGCAATCCCACTTTTGGACATTTACCCAAATGTTTACAAAAAAAGACCACACTAAAGTTACCAGCATGACTGTTTATTGCAGCACTATTTACTATAACTAAGCTATGGAACCAACTCAGATGCCCCTCAGTAGATGAATGGATCAAGAAAATGTGGTATATATACACAATGGAATTCTATGCCTCCATCAGAAAGAATGGCATTGCCCCATTTGTAAGGAAATGGAAAGACTTGGAAAAAATTCTATTAAGTGAAGTAAGCCAGGCCCAAAGAAACATAGGTCCCATGGTTTCCCTTATTTGCAATATCTAGTATATGTCTGAGTCAAGCAGTAAAGGTCAGAAAAAGTGATATTAGGGAAATGAATCCTAAGATTTGTATTCAAATGTTTTTTTTCTTTCATGGGATTGTTTCTAACACATTTATAAGATTATTTCCTTGTTGCTTTGTATGTTTCCTCCCCCACAGTGTAACCCCTGCTTTCACTGTATTTGATGTCGGTATAATTTGTGGAGGGGAGGGGGAAAAACAAATCATTTAAATAGAGATACAGGTGGACCCATTGCAACAATGAGGTGTACAAGTCGTTATGTCGAAGAATGAACTTTACAGCTTTGGTGCACAAGGAGGGGGGGGGTAGTGGGGCGGATTGGTTGGGGGGGCGGGGTTAGGATGGGAAGGGATGGGAAGGGGAAACAAAGGAGGAGGCTACAATGCTTGATAAGAAATGTACTCATTATCTTGCCCATGCAATTGTAACCCTTCTGTACAGTATTTTCATAATAAAAGAAAAGAAATGTACTCATTACCTCGCTCATGTAACTGTAACCCCTCTATACATCATCTTGACAATAAAATCAAATTAAAAAATAAATTCTAATTTTATACAATGAAGACTCATGTTTAGAAAGTCAATGAATCTAAAAGTTCTTGTGCTTCATGAGTATCAGTCAGAGCTCATATACATAGGTTTTCTTTCTATATTTTTCTAAGAAAAACCTAACTGTATACTAAAAATGAAAGGTAGGTTCTTTTCTTGATTAACTTGAAAGATAGAGAAGAAAAACATGTTTGAGGAAATATTATCATTATTATTATCTTTAAATACTTATATAAAGGGATTTCAATTCAACATGTTGGTTTATGAGTTCAATTCCTCTTGATCACTCTGAAGTTTTCTAATACTCAGAATTATAAAGATATAATAAGTGAATAATGTATAGATATCTCTAGAATAATTTGATTGGTGCTCCCTTAAATGCAAAAACTTCAAACAAATGACAAAGAAATGCCTCCAGAAGTTTATAAAACACATAAAAGGGAATTGCTAAGAATCAAGAAGTTTTATATTAATTAATTGTTTCTTTGAAATAGGGAATTAATAGGATTCTACAACAGTGGGACTAGTTCTCACATGTGATTTCATGCTATGTATGGTTTGGATATTTTCATTCAATTATCAATTTCCAATTTAACTCCCAAACAGTTCCTGTTGCTCTCAGAAGACAGACGAGGTTTAGATCTGGTTTTCATACCCAGTATTGGAGTGCTCACTGCCTACATACTCTTGTTCTTTTGCTTTAAGTTGATCTGGCTTAGCTTTCATTTGTGGACCTAGGAGACTCTGCACTTGATTTATCCTTTTGTCCAGGATTTCCTCCTGCATACTCTTGAAAACTTCTCTCTCTTTTATTACTCAACCCTTATTTTCTCAGAAAATCCATTGTCTCTTCTCATGTGAGAATCTTCTCTATTGGGAATTTTAAGCTGTCTAAAAACTACATGGTTGGGGTAGGTCTTTAAACTCAGTTTAAGTGCAAGTAAGTTCCTCATGTTTCTTTTAGGTAGTTCTTATACCTTCTTCTTTTTCTTTGTTTCTTCTTCTTTTCCTTTATTTTATTTTTTTTTCATTGTGCTAATCCTGGGCCTTGGAATCTGGACCTACCTGCTGCTGTTACTTAGCTTTTTTTTTTTCCATTTGAGATCCGGTGCTCTGCCACAAAGAGGTAAGAAAGCTAAGCATCTTACAGACTTTCCTGCTCAGGCTGGCTTCAAGCCACCATGTTTGGATCTCAGTCTTCTGAATAGCTAAGAATACAGGTGTGAGTCACTAGTGACCTGATCTTCTGATATTACTTTTGTCTTGTTTTGCTAAGACATTGTTGGTTTGCTTCCTCATAGACATTTGACTATGGCTGGATCTATGCACCATGCATATTATAAACATGGCATCACACTAGCTGATAAAGCCATTATTCTAATGGGCCTCATTTAATATATATATATATATATATATATATATATATATATATATATATATATAGTGAAAATACCATACAGAGGGGTTACAATTACATGGGCAAGGTAATGAGTATATTCCTTGCCAAGGATTGTTGCCTCCTCTTTTGTTTCCCCTTCCCATCCCTTCCTATCTTCCCCAGCCCTGCTTCCCCCTTCTCCAGCCTCCACACCCCAGGCCAAAGTGGTACACTTTGTTTTTTGACATAGCGTCTTGTACATCTCATTGTTGCAATAGGTCCACATGTGTCCTTATTTAAACAATTTGTTTTTTCCCTTCCCCTCCCCAAATTATACCAACATCAAAAACAGGGGTTATATTGTGGGGGAGGGACATACAAAACAACAAAGAAATCATCTTTTTTTATAAAACATATAAATGTGTATATTTCTCTATCAGCATAACTTATGAATCTTAAGTTAGCAAAGTACAGGTAAGTACTTCCATTTCAACTTTCTCCCCCAAACTCACTCAAATCTACTTTAAATTTATGGAGCTTAACACCATAAATGTCACCATTTTCTTTTACTGAGTATGTGCTTTTTTCCAACGGCACAGCTCCAAGTTCCTTAGTATTACTGTTTCTGTGTGTACTCTGCAGTGTAGTTTACTTATTAATTTCATCTTTTGGATAAGAAAACAAACTCAAATAGCTTGCCTTTAGCTTTACAAGTCTTCTTAGAAAAATTGCATCCCACAATTATTTCCAGAAAGGAGTGAATTACTGTCTACAGAATGATAAAACTTGACAAAGTTTTAGCATGCTCCAATAATGATTAACCTGAAATACCCTGAGGCTGCTTAATGTCAGCTGTTGGAGAAAAAAAACCTCACCCTAGCTGTTAACGGCAGCAGTAGGCCTTCAATTCAGTATAAACATGGAAAATATATATTTTTTGAACTGGTTTAGGCAAGAAAAAAAATAAGCCAAGAGTAACTTATTTTTTATTTTATTTTATTTTTGTCCGTTGTGGGACTTGAACTCTGGGCCTGGGCCCTGTCCCTCAGCTCTTCAGCTCAAGGCTAGCGCTCTACCACTTGAGCCACAGTGCCACTTCTGGTTTTCTGAATAGTTAATTGGAGATAAGATCACAGCCTTTCCTGCCTGGAGTGGCTTTGAACTGTCCTCAGATTTCAGCCTCCTGAGTAGCTAGGATTACAGGCATGAGCCACCAGTGCCTGGCTCAAGAGTAACTTTTAACTTTCACCTTATATCTAGGAAAGAATTTTTTTTAAACAGATATCAACTGTGTTTAGATTGGAGTTATGACTTTGGTTCTATTCTCACCCTTTATTTGGAACATGGGCAGCATTACAGTTTCAGATGATTAAATACACTTGGTTATAAAATATTGACAATAAGCAGGACCTGAATTCTGGGAGTGGTTTTCCAGTTCAGAGGGTAGGAAGAGAGGACAGGTCCAAGATCATCTCCAAAGGAGAACCACATTACTGAGTGAGCTACCAAAGGATTTTGGCTTCAGTTCATTAAGGGAAAGGAATGCCAGTCCTGGTCAACCATTCATGATCTTCACCACAGCAAATCACAACCTCCAATTTTTGAAAGTACTTGTAGGTAGAAGAGGGCACTTAACTCCAGACTGACTTAATTGATTTGAAAGATTACTGAAGTGTCCTCCATTTCCGAGGTGGCAAAAATCTTCAGAGTGATTGGAGCAAGGAGCCTTTCATGTGCTCCCAGTTGTTATATTGTGCATAGAGGCTGGTAAGTGTTAGTCCTGCCAGTCCACCTCATGCTACCCCTCGAAGGCCACCTGTACATTTGTACAACATGCCTGTCAAAGTTCCAGCTGCTACTGTGCTCAGGTCATCTTCTGCTCCTCGAGATTTCTCAATAATAACACCAAATGCACTATAGAGCAAAGCTAGAGAACCTAAAGTATTAGCCCAAAGTGCTCCTTGCCTAGTTACCATATTCAAAATCTGTATGTTTCTTGGTTTGGACCAGGCCATGTTCTGGGTTTCCTTCAATCCTAGACGAAGACCATTCACTGCTCCAAATGCAGCCCCTGTCATGCAACATCCTCCAATAGTAAAGAAGGCTAGTTCAAATCTGCCCTGGGTTTTATTGGCTCCAGTAGGTAAAATAAACTCATCGGTGTCCTGAACCAGATATCGTGGATCCACATTTAAATAAGGAGATAGAGGGTTCATACCAGTTAACGGCACGCTGGCCAAATCCGCTGCGAGTAGCCGGCCCCACTGGCTCCAAAGAAGCTGGCCAGCCCTCCGGTGGTCTTGTTGCCACTTCCCCCGCCACCCTCCATGGTGTCGCGCCGTCTGCTGCAAGCCGCCGCCTCACTTCCCGGTCGCGGCCTTCCAAAGAAATCATCTTATAAATATGTTAGAAACAATTGCAAGAAAGAAAAACCATTTGAGTCCTTATCTTGGGGTTCATTTCGCTTAACTTAAACTTACCTGACCTTTTCTGCTTGACTCAGACATATACTAGCAAATAAGAGAAACCATGGGACCTGTGTTTCTTTGGGCCTGGCTTACTTCACTTAATAGAATTTTTCCCAAGTCTTTCTATTTCTTAACAAATGGAGCAATGTCATTCTTTCTGATGGAGGCATAGAATTCCATTGTGTATATATACTACATTTTCTTGATCCATTCATCTTCTGAGGGGCATTTGGGTTGATTCCATATCTTCGCTATGGTAAATAATGCTGCAGTAAGCATAGTTGTGCTGGTAGCTTTAATATGGTCTAGTTTGCGATAATTTGGGTAAATGCCCAAAAGTGGGATTGCTGGGTTATAGGGGAGCTCTATACTGCTTTCCAAAGTGGTTGAACAAATTTACACTCCCACCAACAATGCAGTAGGATTCCCTTCTGTTCACATTCCCTCCAGCATCTGTTGTTATTAGAGTTCTTGATTATAGCCATTCTAACTGAGGTGAAATAGTATCTCAATGGTGTTTTGATTTGCATTTATGGCTACGGAGGCTGAGCATTTCTTCATGTGTCTATTGGCTAACCTTCTTTCCTCTTCAGAGAAGTTTCTCTTTAAGTCTTTAGCCCACTTATTTATTGGGCAATTGTTTCTTTGAGAATTTGTTGTTGGGGGATTTAATTTTTTGAGTTCCAGGTATATTTTAGATATGAGACCCTTGTCTGTTGTATGGCTAGTGAAGATCTTCTCCCAGTCTATGGGCTTTCTATTGGTCTTGCTAGCTATGTACTTTGCCATGCGGAAGCTCTGCAATTTCATGCAATCCCATTTGTCCAACCTTTCTTTGATTTGTTGTGTTTCTGGGTCTCTATTAAGAAAATTTCGGCCTGTGCCAAGGAGACCTAGGGTTTCTCCTATTTCATCCTTGAATGTTTTCAGAGTGTCCGCTTTGGTTCTGATATCTTTGATCCATTTTCAGTGAATTCTGGTGCAGGGTGATATATAAGGATCTAGCTTTAGTTTTCTACAAGTGATTAACCAATTTTGCCACCACCATTTACTGAAGAGGCTGTCTTTCTTCCATTCTACTTTTTTAGCTCCCTTATTGAATATTAGATGGCTACAAATTCAATGCAATATCTATCAATATTCTAACCTCATTCTTCAAGGAAATAGAAGAGGCAATCCAAAAATTCATATGGAACAATAAAAGACCCCGAATAGCAAAAACAATCCTTAACAAAAAGAACAGTGCTGGAGGAATATCAATACCAACTTTCAAACTCTCCTACAAAGCCATAGTAATCAAAACAGCTTGATACTGGCACAAGAACAGACCTCAGGACCAATGGAGTAGAATTGAAAATCCAGAAATGGACCTTATTTTCATGTACATTTCTAAGACAGTTTGCTTCCCAAAGTAAAAAAAATTCTTTTTTTTTTTGGGGGGGGGGGGTCCAGTCGTGGGGCCTGAACTCTGGGCCTGGGCACTGTCCCTCAGCTCTTCAGCTCAAGGCTAGTGCTCTACCACTTGAGCCACAGCGTTACTTCCAGCTTTTTTCATTTTGTTTATGTGGGACTGAGGAATCGAACCCAGGGCCTCATGCATGCAAGGCAAGTACTCTACCACTGAGCCACCTTCCCAGCCCCCAAAATCAAAAAATTTCTAAACTAACTTAAATGAAAAATCTTGTGTCCTCAGAATTACTTGAAAACCACATATTTGGCCATCTCATTCAGAAAGTCTCTTTACAATTTCCTATCTATAGAGAAAGCAAGAAAGCAATCCAGCTTCCAGTTCTGCCTGGGTGGTGATCCTTCTCTGCTGAGCATACTTCATCCACTAAACTCCTCTGAGACATTGTGTTTTGTGAAGTTGGAAAAATATATATAATACCAACTCCAGGCATTTTGAGTTGTTGGTAAAAAATATTTTTAGAATCTTTTCTTAAGAACAAAATATAACTGTGTTTACATGGGGAGTGCAAAATTACTTCCATTATGTGCAAGGAAATCCATTGATGTGAACTGGGTGAATACTTGTTAGCTGTTTATGAATAAGAGATGCTGTTAATATATTAGATGCACTTTGTCTTCCAACCTAGCTCCATGCTTAATTACACAGTTTAGGAAGTTAAGTGGTTACTGAAATAAGGAGTGGGAAGGCACAGGCCACATAGTCTCATTGTAATTCTCCCACTCCATATACACATGTGTTTCCTGATATTTTGGAGAACTTCATAATTACACATTTTGTGCCATTGAGTGATGCAGTGTGTAATTACACAGTTCAAATACAATAGTGCTGGTTACTATTCAAATACATGTAACTACTTGAGGTTAAAATGTATGTAACACTAATTACATAGAAATGTAATGGGACCACTTAGTCCTTTTATTGTGAATATGAGATGTGAAAGTATAATATTCTCAATTGTATTGCAGGTAGTGTCTATTTCTCTAGGCAGCATTCTATGACCATTCATTGAGAGCAATAATTTTGATATTTTAAATGCTTACTTTATAAGCATTATAAAAATAGATGAATAAAATCTACAGTGAGGTGTACTTCCAGTAAATAGTCACTGTTTATTTCTTGTAGGTTTTGATGTTCTTTTAAATTATTTTCTATTTTGATTGAGTACTATCAAATAATATAAATGAACACTAGATGGCACTTCAATGAATGGTGTTCATTTTGAAATTTTCATGAACGTTAGAAACAATTTTGGAACTAAAGGACATGTAGGAAAATATTGCTCAATCTTTAATTTGCAAAGTATATGCAGTCAGAGAGGTGATATCATGTCAGAAATATCTCAGAGTAAATGTTTGAGCCAACTTTCAAATCTCAGTGGACTTCTAACACAGTATCCTTCCTTTCAGTAGGATTGAGCTTGATTGAACTAAAGAACAGAACAAAAAGAGCATGTCAATAGTAAGTGGTAATTTAGTCATCTTCACATTTATTTTCCTCATCTTAATCAAAAAGAAAAAGTTTAAAGGCACAACCACCTGAAAGTTTTCTTTTAAGATTGTTAAACTGCAAAATTTTGTTCGTTAAGCTGCAAAAATGATATAAAACATGCTGTGTAGCAGGTGCTATACACATGTTGATTCTCCCAATGAAGAGAAGGGTTATATATTATTTTGATTTTACTCTGTATGTAAAATGACCGTTCTTTTACTCTTTAAAACCTCATAGTCCAAAATAAATACTCCAAGATAGAGCTATAGAAATAAGCAAACAGGATAATTGGAAGAATATGAGGCTGGCAATAGAAGCACACAGTGTCTTCCCACTCCAAGCCAGGTAGCATTGCAGGTGGATTCTCAATAAAATACTCCAAAGAAATTCCCTCCATGGTTGACTCTTCTTATCTTTTCTTAGGTTTCATTCACTCCATCTATTTTCATGTTCTTCAATAATATCATACATTGCACATTTTTTGTTACAACTTCTCTGTTGGATTTTGGTACTTCTCTATTCTTTGGTTAAGCCATGCCAATAATTGGTGTCTTCAGCTTGCCTCTTTTTCTACAATGGTTCTCATTTATTTACATGTAAATGGTAGGTTACAACAGACGTGGTTTCAATCCTTAGAAACAGACATTCTATACTTAGAAATTTTATTCTCTCTATTTTTACATGATACACATACCCCTCCCATACATCTGTATACAAGAAGTCCAACTAAACAAAATGATCATTGTGATGGTTCTCATCATCCATTAAACATATACATTATTTGTTTCCTTGACTGTATTGACCCCTTTCCTAAGGTGATAGAACTCATGAGACTTTGGTAGCCAATGAGATATTAGTTAACAGAGTCAAGAAGTGACATGATAAACACATCTTCTAGACACGTTACTATAAAAGAATTATATAGAGACAGCTCCTAGTCTTGTGGTGACCTTAATTAAATGAGACACCAGTCACATGGGTTATCCCAGCTCTTACACCCAGCCACAGCCATTTAAACACTTCAGATGATGCTCTAGACATTGGGGTACTGCTCCTCACCACACAGGATCCAGTACAATTTATGAGGGAACAAATAGAGACCACCAATCTCTCACTGGTGCAATTGTAAACAAGAGAAATTATTGATGTTTTGAAGTTGTTAAATTTCAGGATGGTTGTTCTGAGTAATAATGTTGATTAGTTCTGGTTTAGTACTGTGAGCCTCAATTCACTTATCTATGAACAGAAGATAATAATAGTAGCTATGTCACAGGATTAGCATTACTAAATGAGAATTAATTCATATTATTAATACAAAATGAATAGTGATTAAGACAGTGATAGGAACAGAAAGTCTCAGTCTGTGATAGTGATTATTATAAAGAAAAAACACTGTCAAAATTTGATAGATTTGATTTTCAAAATTTCATTTAATTAAAGTGATGGTTTAACAACTAGGAGGTTAAAGAAATGATTAGACTTAGCCTGCACATATGTCAAATGGAAACTCCTAAGCATCTAGGGTAATGCAGGTATGTCCCAGTTCCAGTGGTCCTAAAATTACATCTGGTAGTATCTTCAGCTGTAGGTTATATACTGGTGAAAACAATTCCTTGGTGTTTTCAGGGACTTCCTGGTGAATGGCACCTATTTCCTTTGCTTTCTATAAAAGGATTGCCTGATACCATTTTTTTTCACATGATATTCCTACTGTATTTTTATTATGCCTTCCTTATCCTTCCTCCACTTCAGTTCTACTGCTATGAGTGGTAAGAAAATCATCACACTATCCTTAGAGAGCTGGGTTTAAGTGAGAAAAAATGTGCTATTCAAAATTGCATTTTCTTCCCAAATAGCTTCTTCATAGGTTATGTCTCCACAGTATTTTGTTGCAGTTATCTGCTATGACCATTTTACCATGACATTATG